CACAAACCTTCACACCACGTCAAGGTGCAGTCTCGTCATGATGGATCGAATACAGAAAGTCGATTAGCATCGTCCATTCCAAGAGGCCATAACTCGCNTGTTGTTTGTTTTTCACGGGGCACGGGATTTCGACAGGCAGACCGTACAGCATTCGCGCTACTGACTTCTATTCTGGGCCATATCTCTCAACGTCTCTAAGCAACGACAATCCTCATCCCTTAGCCCCAACCTGGAAGGTGGGCTGCACCGACCAAAGCCAAATCTGAACCTAGCTTTTTCATGCCTCTAGGCCATGTCATGGCCTGACGGCCGCGCCGCATCTTTCGGTATTGCTCGGCCCCCCACCAGCTGCGATTAAGCTCCTGAGGTACTTAAACTTGATCACCACAGAGGTTGAGCGAAGACACAGGCTCCTGCCAGTCTTGAACAAGCACTTTGCCTTGGAAGGTGCAAACTACATACCATACCCGGATACCTCGATCGTCAAGCGATTCAAAGTGTCTTGGACTGCCTGTGTGTTGTCACCCAGCAAAACGATGTCGTCTGCATATTATAAGTCAAGGACTCTATTTCCTGATTTGAGTTCGACTCCATCGTCTGCTAGACGGGACAAAGCAGTCTGTAGTACATCCTCTATGAACAAGTTGAAAGGGAATGAGGATATAAAACAGTCTTGTCGAAATCTACTGGAGACGGCGAAGGAGGTGAAAGCTGACTGTCGACCCCAACCCGACCTGAGGTATGACGATACAACTCTTTAGGAATCGACACATACTTCTCAGGTACTCCATTCCTCAACATATAGTTCCATAGTGCAGTCCTATCGACGAAGGCCGCACAATGGTTCTTGGTTTTTTATAGACTCTAGCGGTTGTCGGAGGTTGAAGATTGAATCAAGGACTCCACGACCAACGCGAAACCCAGCGTGCTTCTCGCTCATAATGTACAATCGGCGGAGATTGACGGATGCCAACAGCTTTGATGGTATCGGAATGAGGCTTATATTCCTATGTTTGTCGCAGTCACTGCCCTTTTTAAAGATGGGAACGACAATCAATTTCTCCCACGAGAAAGGGACCTGCTCAGTGCTTCAGATTTTACAGAACAGGGCCATATATTCTGTAACAAGCTTTGTCTCGCCATCTTTAAATAGAGCTGAACGGAAGGCCACCGGAGCTCAGTACTTTCTGATGTCCCAAGGCTTGAATATCCTTACAGATTTCCGCCACAGAAAGTGGGTCTGTTGGAGTAGACCATGGAACGTGTGCCGGAGTATCTGTGTGAGGAGCGGACGTTGGTGGCTAGCTAGACTGTGCCTAAAAGTGCTCCGCCCAGCGCTCAAGACGTCACTGTTGATTATGAATGGGCTAGCCATCAGTTTCACAGGCCGTTTTGCTCACACGCAAGGCTTTCTCACCGATGAACCGGACGAGATGAAACAGCTTACGTGAATTCCTTGTGGTGGCAGCCCAGGCCAACTCTGATACGCGTCCAGTTCACCACATCTCGCGTTCTGTGAACAGGCTTGAGTTGAGGTTACGTCTCGTAACGATTTTTGTTTTATTATGCTCGTTGCCGGCTGGAACTGATCAACGTACGCCAAGAAGGCATAGGGACTCCGCAGAAATCCAGGTAGTTCTTCATAAGTGACCGGTGCTAATTGATTTTATCGGGCCAGGTTGGTTCTGGCTTATCAGCAATCGCGTTTTGAAAAGCAATTAGACATGCTGGTTTGAACAGCTTATTACAGTTTAGCCTCCGTTTCGTGCATGTGAAACGCCTACCGAATCATAGCTTGGCGCATACTAATGCGTGGTCGGATTCTAAGGAGTGCTCCAGTACGATCCGCCATTTGCGGCTTATAGCGATTCAGTCGATCCGCGTTTGTCGCTGATACTAGAAAGGTGTACACTAATTGGCCTACCGGCAGTTGGATCGTCTGATATTCATACTGGTGAGGAATAGGCAGTGGTCGAATTATAAAGCCAACAGCCGTTTTCCGAGCCACAGGAATCTACTCCGAAAGGACATTTCACATGCGCCTTACTCAGGGTCAACCGGCCTACTCCAGCATTCATCTCTCTCGCTAAAACCATGATGTTAGCTCGGCTCGCTTTACGCAAGAGGTTTTCCGTAAAATTAATCTCTGAATTAATGTGGGCTGCAGTCTGTTGGACTGTACGCCGATACGGCAAACAAGTATCGTCTATCGGGATGACGGCTGCTTATTTTGCACGAACCTCTGAGTCTCAGTGCGCACAACCTACTATCGAATGGGATCCAATCAAGGAGCGCGGCTTCAGTTTTCTCATGGAGAGCCACATCAACGCCAGGAAGACTGAAAGCCGCAGCCTCATTATCGCCAGAGAGGCATAAGTGAGAATTTGCCGATGGGTTTGATGGGGAAGTCAATCGGATGATGAAGTTAGAGTCCTGAATGCGACGCATCAATGGCTAGGGCCTGGGGCGTACGGGCTAAACACGCCTGTTGTCCTATACGCATCAGAGTACACACATTAAATGTGGCTAGTTTGAAAGGACATTCAAGACGGAGAAGGGCTTGAGCTGATGGAGGATGCGGCGAGACTTGGACAGTGGTCGAGGCAGGGCACGAGAGAACAGCTGTAGAATTTCCATCCAAATCACTACTATTGGTGCTATTGTCTGAAGAACTCGAGAGAGATGAAGGTATGTCAGGAGGTAAAAGTGAAATGGAGGAAGTCTGAGAAAACATGAGGGTGTGCACTGTGTAGAGTGGTTTTCTTTTGAGGAAGAAGCTTCGGAGTGCAGATTTATAAAAGCAAGAACGTTCATGTTTTTTGCGTTGTGGATTGTTGTACTACTCGGTCGCCCGGTCCGCAGTTGGCCTCGTTCGAGGGTGCATTCCGGTCTTTGCACAACCAAGCGCAAGCTACAAGGCAACAGCGATGTTCCGGATGGGCCGGTGGCCAGTTTTCGGCTCAGTCGCCCCTTCTGGAAAACCTTGTCAAACAGTGGATCTCGACAAGAGGCAATAGCCATATTTAGTGACGAGCCACACTCGCCACGTCACAGCGCTATCCACAGATATTTGGTCTTTTGTACGGAGGGCCTACGTCAGGGGGCGAACTTACCACATCTTCGGGCGCGGCCGCTGATCTTCCACAGCCGCTTACCCGGGCATCATATGCCCAACTCTATCGGTGATCTGAGTACGCGCTCGGCAGCAGCTCTGCTCTCCCGAGTCCTAGTTGCTACTGAAAAAGTCCTATGAAATGTCATCATTAACACATAAACAGCAAAAGCATGGCCTACAGAGAATTCTCAAAATCAAAGATATATTGATCACTAGCGGTTGTGTTGGTTTGTATACTTTCTGAAGCTATTTTAGCGGTAGTCCGCTTAGCTATTTCAGTGCGGTCTTACGTGGTTCGATAACATTCAGGTTGCCAGTTGAGTTAACCGTTGGTCCTGTTAATGATGTGGCGTAACACTGCAAAGTATTGTGCAGTAATTATATGAAGCTCATACGTCAGATATCATTCACGAGTACATAGCTTTACACCGGGTTCCATGTTGACCTCCACCGGTTATACTCTGACGGACTGCTGTGCTCACAATTTGGTGCGATACGAAAGGTTCAGTTGACTCCAGATAACCTATGGTATATTATCACGCCATACTACGTAGTTTTCAGTTAATTGCGGCTTTTCATAGATTCAGAGCAATTTCAAACCACATTACCATTACTCTTTGTTGTTGCTTTATTAACCTTGCACTACCGCGCAGCGGTTTTGATTGCTGTCCTTCAACCAAGGTGATATGTATAGATCGTTAAATTTTTTCTTAAGCTGATTCAAACTTTTGAATAAATTACTCATGAAGTCTTGAATTAGGTCTCCTATACAATCCTAATCCTCCAAAGGCCTTAGTATGTGCGGGGGTTGGGGTCTCGGATTAAGCTTGGTCACCCCTTCCTTCTACCCCTCGAAATGCTTTCATACGACCAAGCGTCTCACATAGCTTCGGCTGAGGAAGTCCTATCAACTGCTTTCTTATGGCGGAGGTGTTTCCCCACTCCAAAGAGAGGACAAAAAGCCAACATCCGGGGATATAAACTGGCCGGTGAACCACTGGTGGTTCACCTAGGGGAGTTGGCCAAAATATTTGATTCCAAACCAACCCAAGAGAGACATACAAACCACACACGCACACACCTACCTAGTCGCGGTAGTAGTTGGGTATCGAGGTGAATTGGGCGCCTTGGATGTTTGATCCCGTCCAAAATGCGTATGATGCGATGAACTGGACACCGGCCCCCAATGGATTGTGGTTTTCATACACCGCCCCGCTGCCTTGCGGGTCAGGCTTTGGTTAACTGAAAACTCCGGTTGTGAATTCCCCAAGAAAATTCACCTGCTTTGACCTGGGCAATCTAGCATTATCACACCATAGAGCACATCATACACTTTTTCTTTTCATAAAGCTTATTGTACCGTAATTTGTTTGATAAACTCTGAACTCAAATATATGTGAAAATATACATATATATCCGTTAGAAAAAGACGATTGATTGGCTAGTTCTGATGAGCTGTTAAAATCGCACAGTAGTTGTATTCCGGCTCTCAGGAACGGAAAGCTAACATAGTCCGGCTTAACTCTACCTTCATTTTCTCTGTTTACAATAATNGAAGTCCAGCAAAATAGGTCTGCTCTCGGTGATACCTTTGATGGTCCAAGCGTCGATTTGCAGGTAATCCAGATCAGATATATTTTTTCTTTTGTTCCCGTCGATTTGTATACACCGATTGATGTGCTGGTGCGTGTCACCGAACTCTGCTCCACTCCACCTTAGTTTTCCTCCTTCCATACACCTACGTACACAGTTGTTTGTGTGCACTTTTCTATATTATCCCAAATGCTTTGCACAACTAGCTTGCTGCTAAAGCTTCCCCTCATTCCCAACTGTTTTCATTTCGTTTGGCACCGTGTTATCGTGAGCTTTTTGTTCTTTTATTAAGGAGGACAAAACTGGTGGTCCTAAACAACGTCTTCTTGGGTGGATTAAACAAAAGATTCCGGATGCTTCGATCAAAAATTTCACTACAGACTGGAATAGTGGTGTTGCGATCGGTGCTTTGGTGGATGCATGTGCCCCAGGGCTTTGCCCTGATTGGCCCGATTGGGACACCCGACAATCCCTGCGCAATGCGACTGAAGCCATGACGACGGCGGAGGAATGGCTGTGTGTTCCTCAATTAATTCGACCGGAAGAAATGGTGAACCCTAGTGTAGATGAAAAAGCCATGATGACTTATATCAGCCAGTTCCCGAACGCGAAATTGCGAGAAGGTGCACCGTTGCGTCCGAAGCGAAATCCAAACAAGGTTCGAGCTTACGGACCAGGTATGTTTAGATTTCAGAACACATTGTGCCCCATTTGATTGATTTTCCCACAATAAGGTCTCATGAGTTTATGAACTGCTTACTATATTGATTACTACCCTCTACAGGTGTTGAGCCAACTGGTAACACTCTAGGCAATCCATGCAAATTTGTGGTGGAGACCGCGGATGCTGGGCGTGGACAATTAGAAGTTATCGTTCTTAATCCCAAGGGCGCTCGTGAACCGGTGAGTTTAATAACCTATACCTCTGGAGTTGGCAATATAATTTGAACCGTATTGTTTGAAGAGAAGAGTGGCCGCATTTCACAAGAAGCTCCATAGTATTTAAAAACGGCTGATTGGGCGTAGCTCCACAACTCGAACAGGGTCTTTGGGAGAACTTACATAAGCCTTCAACACCAATTCTAACTCAAAAGGCAGTAGTACGTAGGTCCGAAACCAGGGTGTGATTGAAGCAACTGCATGGAAGCTTCTAGAAACCTATCACCAAAAGGTCTTTGGTTTTCGGTTGAGTATTTCATTCACTAGCCCGTTGACTTTCAATCAGCGGCTCTTTATTAGTTCTTAGCCTTATGAACCTAATGAGATGTAACAGTACGTAATGGTGGGTTTGAGGGTTAGGGGTGACGCCCAGCCTGGATGGACGGCGGCTGTCGAATGAAGTGTAAAGACATCGTGTGTGTATGGCGACTAGATCTATCTAGCGGGGGTTTCGACCGATAAACTGCTCCTCCGTGTTCATTTACTGGAAGAACATCTATGAGGGCGAGAGTCAATAGTCAAAGGAATTTAGAAGGTGCTCAATTAGCTGACCTTGTAAGACTAAGCTTTGTCTGGCCTCTGCCCATTAACCTTTCAGGTATGATTGGATCAGCGACTAAGAAGCTCTCAGGGTCTTGAAAGCATATGAAGCATCATACCGTCAGGGCGCAGTCTCGTTAGGAGCGACATCTTACAAAACAGAAGTCGAGACGAACAAAAGCGGATGGTTTTATAAATTTACTATAGGTCTTTATGGTCATAACAGTTTTTTGAACCTATTATTATGATTATTATCTTGGTCAGTTATCTCGAGGGTACCTCGTCACACAGAGCCTACCGCTCCATTCGTTCATTCCATTTAGATGTGTTGTATTATTCTTCAAGCATACGTGGGTTTAAGATCAGTGTATCGTGATTTGTTTGGCATAGTCTGAACTATGACGCGTGTGATTTATAATAGCAATATACGAGCGTACTCCGCTTAAATTTTGATCTGCTCCTTGGACGAACTCCTCTTTCATCTTTGTAAGAGAACCAAGTATGTAATTTGTAAATGACGACTTGATTTACTTTTTATTCGCTCCGTTTCAGTGCAATGTTGTCGCCAACAACGATATGACCGCTAGTTTTTCATGCACTTACGAACCTCGAATGGACGGCGAGCATAGAGTAATCATTAAATTTGCTGGTCAAGAAATTCCTCATTCACCTTTCCGTGTTAACATTGATGGCCCTGCAGCTGATCCAAGCAAAGTGATTGCAACTGGACCGGGTGTGGATAGACATGCGAAAAATTGTGTGGGGCGCCCCACATATTTCAACGTCAATGCTCAAAGTCAGTCTGGTCTATTATCCTTTTAGTCGTCAATCATTGTCTGTTTTTTAACGTATTCACACTGAAAGTAGCCGGGCCTGATTAATAAGAGAAAAAATGTTATTTCTGCGTTATCCATCAGATTGTACCTCATGCACTTCTTCGAAATCCACTGTCCCATTGAATCTATTTCTGTTTCGAGCACCATCATGTGAACGGATGCTATAGTGGAAACTATGGGCGTGAAACTTATTATGGCTATCTTGGCGCAAGGCTCGAGCAAGCTACGAGAAAATCTGTAGCATTCTGTATAGACAAAATTATTCTCCGCGGTAGGAATCGAGGCTTCACATGCTCGATTGACTTGCGATACTGATAATTCCTGACAAAAATTAAGATAAAATTGAGAAAACATCCTCGATTGTCTTTTCGCTTGATGCTCATCTGATTTCCGAATTAGGTAACTGGTTCGAAATCTAATAGCTTCGTTTAATCGGAAAATCATTAGAAAATTGTTGTACCCTTTTCAGAGTCCTGATTCTTAGTCAATCTGTTTAAGTTGCTGTCATTGGTGTGCCTTGAACCCTAGATTTCGAGGTTCGAAACCCGAAACTAACACACAACATTGCTGGTAGGCAGCTTCTTTGTCGTCTGGCTCAATACAACGCCTAACCTGGCGGGACCTATGGTTTGCCACCTCTTTTCCAGGAGCCTAGGTTGCCGGATTCCACGAGTGAATAGCAGGTCCTGGTGATTATGGGGTTTAACCCGTTTGCTGTTCTTCACACAAAAGGCCTGTTATGAAATAATTAATACATAACAGTACTCTTTATATACATAATACATATGATATTTAATCATGATAAGTAATTCACAAGTAAAACATACTTAGTCAGTTTTCTAATATACGGATAAAGAATGATACTGATGGTGATGGTGATGCGTAGGCACACAGACATTTAGCCACCTCATCTTCCGCTTCCTGTTTCATTCATCTGCTTGATGTATACAGTCTTGTTTTTTATTCAGTTTGATCAGTTCTCCATATTATTGCGGATAAAAGTTCACCACGTGTTGATTATCTGAGGGCAGTCCTATCGAATCACGTACCGAAGCGTCCTAACACCGTTCCCATTCCGGTGGATTTTTCATTTCGAGTTATGAATTCAACAAATGGCTTGTCACTGTTCGGTTTCGATCGCGTAAGAGACTTATGAGGATAGTTATTTATTTTCGACCATTTCGTGGTTGCATGGAATGTATAATGGCTTACAGTTCCTGTTCACTGAGGTTTCTCGATTGATTTGGACCATTCTATCTTAATACAACTAGCAATTTAGCGTTTCCTTTCTTCCATGTCCTGATTATAACTCAGATGCCGGAAAGGGTGCGGTCGAATGCGTGGTGGTTGATCCAACTGGTCGACGCGATACGATAAAGCCCCGCATTAGCCGACCGGAAGGAGATGCAAATTATTTGGTC